TCTGTAGGGACTAGAGGGCATTAGTAAATCCCTTTATAATCAACTCACATTGTTCATGCTCTATAGACAACAAGGGAAATATAAAAACAAAGCGGAAAATGTTTACCCTTTTGTATACATTCTAAACTTCCAACTGAACCACGAATATTTTTTAAAATTCTTTTTATTTTCATTATATTAAAAGTCTAACATCAGAATATTATAGAAAACCTTCTTAATTGATAACTAAAATAGTTAGTTACCTCGAACGTCGGCAATAAGCCATATACATCCCTCGGGCCTGCGGCCCTCGGGATGTATATGGCTTATTACCTCCGTTCTCGGTAACTAACTCTTACTTATTTGTTGCTATTTTGAAGTCAATTATATATACATCTAATAGAAAATCTTGAAAATTGATAAATAAAATACTAAATTACCTCGAATGTCGGCAATAACCCTTTACATATATGGCTTTATATGGCTTATTCCCTCCGTTCTCGATAATTAACTGTTACTTTTATAACTATTTATTTACCTTGTGTTTATAATGAGCAATTCAGTTCAATTCAATAGCCCCGGTCTTTCCTGCTGAATATCAATTCCCTTCCCGTGCTCAAAGTTTATCTATTGTTTATGAACGTTTATAACAAAAATAAAGCCGAGCGTAGCAAGTGTGCAAATGATGCTACAAGGGCCAGAAATGAACAATATGCCCTCCAAAAGTAATGCTATTCTCATTATCATCAATAATGTTATTCTCATTATCACCTCTGCGTAGAACTTTCGTTCTATCTTTCGTTTCTATCTGAAAGATAACTACGAAACCATTTTAGAAATAGATTTCTAATACCTAATGCTTCAAGTTTATAAATTAGAGCATTATGCCACACATGATCAAAAGCTTTGGAAAACCACTTCTTTTCCATTTTCCAAGCCTTCATAGATTAAACGAACTATAAAGGGTAACTTCTTTCTGTACTTGACAATACCAGTACGTTTCAGCTCTGGTTATCTTTGTGGTTATCAATGCCTCAGTAAACACATGCTTCTTCAATTTAAAGTTCTCTATGCTTCTAAATACATAGGCAGTTACTCGAACGAGCTTTGACCACTTTGCATAGCGTGTGTAGTCAACAGCAGGCTTGTCAGCAATGACAGCAAGGATTTGAACTTGTTTAGGTTTTCTTTCTTTCTGAACAGATTTCAAATGATCATCATTTTCAGCCGCAATTCCTCTGGATGCAATAACCACTCTGGTCCCTTCCACCATAGACTCTTCCCTAGCAAGGTCTTCGATTGCAATCCACGGATGACTAAATCGGCTGGGTTTCAACACCTGGAAAGTCTCTTCAAAACCGTGGGTCCCACGAGGACTGGATTTCTTCTACGCGGTTGGACACGAATGTTTTCCAGTGCTACTTCACTACCTGTCAAAGCAATAGCTCGCTCAAACTTTAAAGAGAACGAATGTATCACGAACTTTAGAAGTCTAGAATTGAGTACAACGGCAAGTAACTCTAATCGAGGTAAGGAGACTACCTTCGTGGGGGCAACCCTTGACTTGAACATAGCTAGTTGGGTAGAGAAACGTTTTTGCTCATCCGTTACTCTGAGATCTTCTCTAAAATCCATGGATTTCCACATTTGTGTTTGCTCCCTTTGTGTGAACAAGGCTATGCCGAATGTCAACACATTTCAGATGAGGGATTTCTARCTTCCAAGATCTCCACTCCTCTTCGATGTCCCTAGGCAGCTCATGCATCGCCCACTCAAAAAATAACTGTTATGAATGTCGCGTTCTGATTGGTTTGGAGCGCGTGCTTTATGAGAGCACATTGCAAGCAAGCGCACTTTCCGTTGCGTCACTCCTATCTGTTATTGTACAGTTGTAATTTGTATTTTACAAAAGAAACAAAAAACATGCTTGCTGTACTGTGTGCAGTCATAAAGCACTTGGGGATTGGCACAACACTCGAGAAGTGTCCAGTAGCACTCTGCTACGCGTCGTGCTTCTCCTAACACTTCTCTCGTGTTCTGCCAATCCCCGCGTACTTTTTGACAGCACACAGCACGTGCACGCGTTTTCTATTTCTTCAAGAGAGCGGGACGGAGCTTGCGTATCACGTGACGGATATTATTGTCAAGGCATGCTCTATTACGTTATGTAAAGAATATTTATACAGTCGACATTAACAAGGATTTCAAGAGATTTTGGACTTCCCCAGTATTAATTAAAGAACGGTCAGCACGGTGTATTAAGTGGGCTGGTAGAATCCCACGAAAAATCAGTACATGATAGATGAAGCTTTAAGCCGTGTGGGGTGGGCTCGGAAATCGTATAAGAACATGCGTAATAGGTAGTAAATTACGAGCCTAATAAGAAACGACTGAAGATGATTGCCAATGGGCCTTTCACAGCTTCAAGTCGCGTAAAATGAGCCAGCTCAACTAGAAACCGTGGACAGCTGTTTCGGCCTGTATTGGGCCTCTTTCGTCAGCATCGTGTATCTAGTGAGCTGGTAGCCTCAGCCTCATCTATCAGAAATAAATATGTGGAACTGCTGAAATTGGTGTCTACTTTGCTAAAGGTTCCAACGAAAATAATTTATTTATTTTAGAAAGCTTGTAATATGAAAGGATTGTTATATAACCACAAACCATCGGCCTAATTTAACTGTCAACATCAGGGATGATTCCTATTTCAACTCATTTAATATATTCCTGACATTTTGCCTCGGTCTTGACCACGTGATCGTCGAGCCTTTTTTTAGATATACCTCTCCATTGCCATAAGCAGTCCCAAGTATCGTTAGGTGTTTTAAAATAATTTCTCCTAAAAATTAGAAAAATAGCCAGTTTAGAATAGCATACAGTGAAGAATGTATTTAGTATAATTAGTGTAATTTATAGTTTGGAAAAGAATAATTTTAATAGTTCTCTTCATCAGTTTATCTCTCCCAACTTCCATTAACCCATTTATCCATCCATCTATTGAGAATCTATTCACCTCATCTATTCATTCTTCCATCCATCTATCCATCCGTATATTGATTTATTCACTTAGTCATTCATTTAATCACGCGTTCACTTATCCATCAATTCATTCATTCATTCATTCATTTATGCATCCATTCAATCATCCTGTCAATCATCCTTTCAGTTCAGTTCAGTTTCATTGTCTCAGGCACAACAATGCACGTGGCGGAGTGGTTGGTCTACTGTATAAGGACAGTCTTCGAATTAATAGTAAACTTTGTCATTAGTTTTTCATCATTTGAACATCTGTATATTATGTTAATGAATCTGACTAATGTAAGGATTTTTGTTATCTATCGACCTCCACCTTCGCAAGTTAATGGTTAACATCTGTATATTATGTTAATGAATCTGACTAATGTAAGGATTTTTGTTATCTATCGACCTCCACCATCGCAAGTTAATGGTTTGTCAGTTTCTTTTTTTTTTTTCTTTTTGCAGATTTTCGAAATTTTGGAGAAAGTTGTTGTGCTACCTGGAACCATCTTTATCCTTGGTGATTTCAACTTTTACGTCAAGATGTTAACGATCATCTTGGGAGGAGGTGACTTAAACACACAACATGGCGGGATTCATAACGAAGCAAACTTTATCATTATGCAAGGACCATTACATCATCATATGCAGTGAATATCATTAATATCATTACAACCCCCTTTTTCCAAATGAAGGGCTAACTCTACCTATTTTAAATCACTACATATCAATTACTGTTTCGTGAGAATAACAAATTTTAACAACAACGTTCAGAGTCCGCAGTTCGATACAAGTATCAATGTTCAGTACTTTACGAAGTCTTCAAACTTCTTTGGTGGCTTTACCAATCTTCCACTTCTCGTTGTAACTCCAGTCGATGGTACTTCAGGTTGTTCAGCTTTCTTTGATTCCTGTTTAGCTTGCATACTTCTCGTTGTCATTCCTGTGATGGCTGGTTCCTGCTCTTAGAAGTAATATGTTGCATCAGGAAGTTTTGGTTCTTCTTTCTTTAAGAGATGTTGGCGATTTCTCCTAAATGTCCCTTTCTCTGTTCGGACAAGATACGAGCGTGGCTCAAGTAATTTCTTTACTACTTGTGCGGGTTTCCACTGTTTGTCTTCCTGTATTCTGACCATCTGTCCCTCTTTTAAGGGCATCAAGGGTCTCGTTGACTTGTCGTGGTAAAACGTTTGTCTTTATTGTCTGTGTTTCAGCTTCCCAATTATTTCTTGTGGGTCATAGCTTTTTGGAATAAGCATCTCCGTTGTCTGAGGAACTGTAGTTCTAAGTCTGCGTCCCATTAGCATCTGTGCAGGTGACAGATTTACTCCATCTATGGGTGTGTTTATGTAAGCTAAAAGTGCTGTGTAGGGGTCCTTTTGAAGTAAGTCAGAACCAACTTTTAACCAGGGCAAAGGCAGAATTTCATGGCTCTGCAATGGTTCAGCTCGCTGGCTTGGTTGATTTTCTAGACATGTTGCACACTGCTGGATCCTTTCTTTGATATCTTGGTTCATTTTGGACCAATATAGAACATGTCTTGCTCTTTGTAGTGTCTTGTTGATTCCTAGGTGACCACTTTGCAATTTGTCTAACATGTCGTTTCTCAGCTCTTGAGGTACTATAATCTTCTCTCCTTTAAGAAGTAATCCTTGTGAGATTATCTCATCTTTATGTTCCAATAATCATGGATTTTGGTTGGCGTCTGTTCTTTAGTTTCTGGCCATCCTGCCATAACTACACTTTGAAGTAGTGAGAGGGTTATGCCCTTTGCTGTTGCTTCAGCAAATCTATCTATCTGGATATCTGAAATGATATGCTCTGGTACACTGATCTTCAACACTTTCTGTGTTTACTAGTGTTTCTTTCAAATACGCTCCTGACAATGTGTCAGCAAAATACATTACTTCTCCACGCTTGTAGGTCAAAGTGATGTTTGGGTAGCGCTGCAACTGTACGAGCATTCTCTGAAGTCGGAGTGGTGCTGCATGCGTTTAATTGCCATATTTAGATTCTATATTATTCCTGAATTTAACATGCGATCTAATTCCTGTTACAACTTACTGCGCTTAGCATGTGCTATCCTGCGAGGTGGGTGGACTACAGGAGGAATATTAGGATCAACTGTGATATGGTATTGTCTAGGTAAACATCCTATGCCAGAGTAAATAACTGCATAATTCTTTAGAAGACTTTCAACGTTCACATAAATCACACGTTGGATTAGTCCCATTTTTTCGCACGTTTCTCGTCCTAAGAGTGGTGTGTAGTCTCCATTCACAACTTGAAAACATAGGCTGTGCTTTTTCCCTATGTTCTCACCTGTCAATTTACGTTTTCTTATGGGCCTGATAAAGCTTTTAGAATAACTTTCGAGCTTTACTGTTGTTGAATCCAATGGTTTCGAGGTAATCTTGTCATACAGGCTCTTAGATAAAACATTGCATTGAGCTCCACTATCTAATTTAAACTTGACTTGTACATTTCCAAAGTTGACTGTCTCGACCCACTCTTTCTCTCCTACTCCAAATGATCTAATGAAAAATATTTCAAAATTATCTAAACTTTCATCTTCTACTAACTCATTACCTTGATCCTCTACCAAATCTTTCCCTTGATCTTCATGTTCAATGACACTGTTCGCTGGTTTCTTTTGCTGTCTAGTTTTCGTTTGATACATCGATGCGAAGTGATTTAACTGTTTACACTTGTGACTTTGTTTACCATAAGCCGGGCAACGCATGGGAATGTGCTCCCTTTCCACAATTCGCACACGGTCTTCCTCCTGTCCTCTTTCCTTTATTCTTCTGGTTAGACGCTTTGTTTTTCTGTATTCGCGGGTTTGCCGAGCAACTAAATCGATCGCTACATCACTACAAGCCTTGGTTCCAAGCTGAGGGGTGCGTGCATTTAGGCCGGCTTTGCCATCACACTCTGGTCTGTGGTCCTTTTGGGGTTGCATTGCTTATATACACCCTCTCGTATACTATCTCTTTCTAGGGAGGGCTGGGTGTAATGCTGCCGTTGGCTGCAGTGCAGCCCTCCGTAAACTATGCCAGGTATATATGATTCCACTGGATGCCTGTTTACTATAGAGTTGTTTTTAAAATGCTTCTACTCACCTATAAGTCGTTGCATGCCCTTGCCCCAATATACCTGTCTGACCTCTTAAGCTATCGTTCTTCTTGCTATGCTTTACGTTCTGTCTCAATTCAACTTCTTGTGCAACCTAAAGCTCGTCTTAGTACTTGCTGAACCTAGATTGTGGAGCAAACCTCCTTCTGAAATACGTTCCTGTAAATCAGCCGGAGCTTTTATAAGGAAGCTTAAATCTATTTTCTTCATTTCTAAGTAACAGAAAACGCCCTTAGTTCTCTTCTTTCTTTGTGAGGTGCATAGTCTTAGTTTGAAAATAACTTATTATAATATAAAATGTTTTTCCTAAATATAGTATTACATTAAATATAGTATGAACATAGTATTAGTTTGTATGATTATTAGTTTTAGCTTATATATTTATTAGTAATATCTTAATTTAAATGATTTATATTTTGAATATCCTTAACCTAATTCTACATGAAGTAAATAGTTCAATGGTTAAATATTTCTTGATTTTAGTGATCCGTCTTTAAGGTGACTGCCTACTTTTGGAAATTGATTTAAACTTTTTTTAAGACTTCGATTTTCCGAATTGAAATTTAATTCTGATTCCAAATCTGGAAAGAAAAATAGGATGTCTCGAGCTCGTTTTCGAGATAATCAGCATTTAATGGAAGCCTACGCACGAGCTTTTGGAGTAAAAATTGCG